GCCCCAGACGCACCGAGGGCCGGGGGCGGGCGGCCCTGAAGGAAGGCGGGCGGCCGCAACCGGCGTTACCGGTAAGCGGTCGGCAGCCCCGCCGCAGCCGAAGGAGGAGAGCGGGCTGGCCGCCGTGAGGGAGGCAGGGAGGAAGGCGGTCCCGGAGGCGGGACTCCTGAGGTACGGCTTGCGCCTTGTCCCGGCGAGGGGCTGCGGCTCGTTACCGGTAGTCGTGTGCGGGCTGAGGCCCTGCCAGCGGGAGCCGGCGAGGTTTACTCGTTTATTGTTTGCTACCGGGCCCACCTCTTGTGTGTTTGTGCCAGCCCCCTGAGGGGGACTGATGTCAAACCCGACCAGGCAGTAACGCCACTCCTCTCGCTGGAGAATGTAACCCAGGTATTTTACACTTCTCTTACAGAAAAACCGTAACTGATGTGGAGAAGTTCGATGGCTCTTCTCAGCTAAGGCGAACGGTAAGGTACGGGTGTCAGCTATACAAGGTTCCTTGGCTATTAATAAATCATCAACATACTGTATCAAAACAGATCCGTTTTCTTAAACGCAACACGCTGCAAATCTTTTGCTAAAATTTTAGAACGCTAGTGGAGGACCCAGCGGAGCCCTGAGGGAGCCTTGTCTATGTTAGCTGTATCTTTCCCCAAGTAAACGCAAAAAAAGGTATTGAAAGCCCGGATGAATAGGTCTACCGATTTAAGTTTAAAAAAAGTTGCCCCTGTATCTATTAGACAGGGGTGATTATGTTCATTAATTAAAAGGTTTAAGACCGATGTACCCCATATTTTACACTTCTCTTACAGAAAAACCGTAACTGATGTGGAGAAGTTCGATGGCTCTTCTCAGCTAAGGCGAACGGTAAGGTACGGGTGTCAGCTATACAAGGTTCCTTGGCTATTAATAAATCATCAACATACTGTATCAAAACAGATCCGTTTTCTTAAACGCAACACGCTGCAAATCTTTTGCTAAAATTTTAGAACGCTAGTGGAGGACCCAGCGGAGCCCTGAGGGAGCCTTGTCTATGTTAGCTGTATCTTTCCCCAAGTAAACGCAAAAAAAGGTATTGAAAGCCCGGATGAATAGGTCTACCGATTTAAGTTTAAAAAAAGTTGCCCCTGTATCTATTAGACAGGGGTGATTATGTTCATTAATTAAAAGGTTTAAGACCGGATTCTCATCAGAAGAAGGGGAAAACATTTTGTATTCAGTAGCGACTGCACAAAAGGGAAGGATTGCACCATAGGGCTGAGAGGTCCTTTTGGGAAGCCCTTTGGTCGTACCGGGCATTCCCCTTTTCAATGACCTCGTTGTCCACAATAATTACAACAGCCTCCTGCTCCTCAAGGCCCGCTGCTCCTAAAATTTCCTCCTCTGCTTTTGCCTTGAAGACCTCCGCATCCCCATCCCCGCAGTCTAGGATTGCTCTTCAGCGTTGGGCCAAGGGATCAGGAAGACAGGAATAGCCAGGAAACAAATCTGTGAGTTGATGGCACAAGAGATGCCTGACTCCTTCCTAACAAAGCCAGCCTAAGCGAGTGCCCAAGACGTGCTGGAAATCTACTTGGCTATAATGAGTAAAAAGGCCTTGTAAAACCTTCTCCCTTGAGGTTCTTCTCTTAAAGCCATTAAGACACATAAAGAACAAATGACTAAGCAATCTTACCTTGGCATGAAAATGTGCAGTGGGAAGAGTGCCAAAATAAAACACCAGTATGAATTCATCTAATGACTATGCTGTGTCTGAGCAGCTGTGTGCTGTTGCAAGGCAGCTTATGTTGCTAGCAATGTGGCAATGATAAAGGTGGAATAATTTGCCTTAAAATGGACGTCTGTATCAGTGCCCTTGCTGTGCATTTTATTTTAAAAACGTGGCAGTTTCTGCACATACTACGTGCAACTTGGCACCAGGCGTGAAGGTAACCTGTTTCCTTCAGTAGGGGCTTCTTCTAGCAAAGTTGAAGCGTGTGTGTGTGTTTTGAAGCATGTGTGTGTGTTTACCGATTGAGACTTAATCCAACATACTCTTGCTCTTTCCACCGTACACCAGCGAAGGAGACGGCGAGCGATGTAGCAACCTGTGACGGTGAGTCTTTTGCTGACATTGACTTGTCTTGCTCTGGACATGAGTGGCATGGCAGGATGCATGCTGGAGAAAGCAATCAGAAACTGAAACTACAGAAACGAAGATGTTCTGCGTGGATATTCCCGAAACAAAGGTGCTGTGTTAGAGTTTGGGGGGGGGGGGAGTGGGAAGATGAAAGCAACCGGGAGGAAGGAGTAGAGACCAGCTGTGTCTGTTCAAAGGACTGCAAAGCTGCCTAACTCCTAGCCTGTCAGGTCGCTAGGAAAATGTCACACCCCACGGCCATCATGCAAGGGCTGAGCCACTTTCCCTCTTCTGTTTTTACCGATCAATTCCTAGACATTTATCTCCTCAGTTCGGTGGCTGATATTGCACAGTCTAGGGCACCGCAGAAGTAAAGGTCTCCAATTGCTCTGAAGAAATTTATGAACAAAGACCTGTCAGGTTTGACTACTGCAACATTTGTCTTTGGGAGAGGAGCAACACTGGGAGAGTAGCAACCTTGCCAAAATGCCAATTCCTTGGAAAACAGCATCAGGAGGTATCATATATTCCAATAATACTTTCTGAAACCTTTATCGTATTTCTATTGAGTCACGTCGATATGCGTCACCTTCTGTAATTCACTTCTGGTTGTTTTTACTTCTCATTCACCCTCATTCTCACCTCCTATATGCGATCACTGTAATGCACCTTTCAAGGCTGACCTCACATTTCCAGGAAAAAAAATCGGAGCTCAGTTGGCATTAATTTATTACATTCCTCCCACCTTCTACTGCTCATCGTTATTGTAGCAAGTGCCTTCTCTGGGTCCCGGCATCTGTTCAGCGCTGCTAGTAGATAGCTAACTTGGCAACCAATTAACTCTTCCACTGCTGAGATACCACTTTTGGCTTCGTTAAATGAAAGGTACAAACCACAACCACACATGCACAGCAGACTTCAACAACTCACTTTGTCAGTACAGATGGTTCTTCAATTTTATTTTATGTTTAATCTTGGCAAACAATATGGGGGACCAGCCTTTCTTACTTATGGACAGCGTCCAGTGTCAATGGGATCTCTACTAATCAGTGCTTCCAGCCGCCTCGCTGTTGTGTGAGTAATGCTGGTTTTTACCATCAGCAACTACCTTACAGATGACAACGATTTCTTTTGGCTATAGGTTGCTTTGGGGTTTGTTTTTTGAGTGATCTTTATTTTTTATATATATATATATATATATAACATCCCTTACAGATCAACGATTTCTTTTGGCTATAGGTTGCTTTGGGGTTTGTTTTTTGAGTGATCTTTATTTTTTTTATATATATATATATATATAACATCATACAATATATATAAACGTCACTGTTAACTTATCATGATGTGTGGTGCTATAATTTAAAGCCAGAGAGATTGAAGGTGGTGAAGAACGAGTGAGACATCTTGCTAAACCATATGGTACCCGTGCTCCAGATATGTTTGACAGCCTGTTGGTATCTCAGTGGCATTGACCGAGTTCAGCCTTGATAATTTGAGAGAAACCCTTTTTTCTCTCATTATGTGATGCCTATAGCCAACGGGGACCTTGAACTGGATTCCTCTCCTCAACGGTGTGATTACTGGCGATGCTTTTTCATACCGGCCTTTGGAACCCTGGAATATTTTTCTTCTTTTGAATGCAGGCTACCGTGAGCTCTTCTGATCTCCCATGACCACAGGAAAGGACACCCACCAGGTTAATGAGAAAGGGGCAGAAGAGTTTTGAAGTCAATAGCTAGAAGAGCTTTCTTTTTCTGAGAATTAAATTGGTGGTCTTACAGTGAACACAGCCCTGTATCTAAACCAATGAATAACTGGATAGTTTCATTTTCTAAGTATCTACAGTATAAGTTAGACATTTTCAGTATTCTGAGCCGAGTGCAACTGATACGACTTCTGTCAATATGGATTCTGGATCCTTTGAATGTGGGGCAATGGCTTTTCTTTTATATATTGTTTAGCTTTTTATACCGAATAATATGTGGCTTTGCTGTGTGCCTTCCACATTGTGTTTGTCTTGCTGTAGCTCTCAGAAATGTTCATCTAGAGAATGTCAACGCAGCGTCAGTTCTGATTTTGTTTTTCTGTTTTGTTTGCCAGAAATTTTCAGACATCGTGGTATCTGCCAGAATCATCCATCGTAGATCTTGTAGTTAAACCTCAGTAAGACAAATAACGATGGCCCCTATCGTTTAGATGTTGGGTTTTAGATGAGTCACACAAACAACTAGTTACTTAACATTTTTGATAACGAAGTATCCAACGACTTAGAGAAGTTAAGGATGAAGTAGTCTGGTGCCCCGAGTGATCTTTTAGGGCTGAAATGACAACAGTGGGGTTTGGGTTTTTTTAATTAAGGAATTTTTGTTTGCATACAAGCTGTAGTGAACATATGCCGAGATACGGGATTTCACAATATACCCTATTTCTCTTCATCGCACAAAATGGCGGGGGAATAAAGTAAATTAAAAAAATAAAATCACTCCTGTGGCACGTGGTGGTGACGACACAGTTGATCATGAGATGTTACTGCCTTCTTTCCAAGGCAGTTTTGTGGTAAACTGCCTTTTTGGGTTTTTTTACCCATCCTGTTTTCCCAGTTGACAGAACCTCAACACCCGCTTCGGTTTCACACAGGACCTTTCCTACCTCGTTTACACCCGCAAAAGACAACTCAACCACCTCCACCTCACCTTCCCGTCACGTTTCTTCCCTCGAGGCGACACCTGGAAGGGAAATAAATACCTTTGGCGACAGTCCTTATGGAGAAGAGCCTTCCCGGGTTTGGCGGGATACGGTCTTTTTTCCTTTCAGCTGCATTAGGCGGCTTTAGGCGAGCGGCCGGGCGCCGCCGCCCCCGCCCTCTCCTCCGCGCCCGG